AGCCCACATATCCCAGGAAGCTACCCTAGCATCAACGGGTATCCTGAACCCCTTAGCCCATCAAACGCTTCTAACACCACCCTAAACCCTAAACCCTAAACCCCTAAACCCCTTAACCCTAAACCCCTAAACACCTAAACCCCTAAACCCCTAAACCCTAAACCCCTAAACCCCTAAACCCCAAACCCTTGATCCTCAAGGCCCCCGTAGCGCCACAGTAGGCTGCGGCCCGGGCCGGGCAGCTTCGGCGGGAGCCCACGGCAAAGTCCCGGACTGGCCAGGAGCTTCGGTCGTTGAAACGAGGGCTTCAGGGGGTTGACGGGTTTAGGGGTTTAGGGTTTAGCGGTTTAGGGTTTAGGGTTTAGGGTTTAGGGTTCAGTGAAACTAGGGCTTACTTGGAGGTTCATGGGCAGTTACCCATGAACCTCCAAGTACTGTAGGTGGTCTACGGGTTTAGAGTTGGTGGGTTAAGGTGCTTAGGGTTTAGAGGTTAAGTTATTTAGGGTTTAGGGTTTAGGGATTGGGGTTTAGGGTCGTTGAAACTAGGGCTTCAGGGGTTCCTTTAAAGGGATCTATACAGGTTCTATAAGGGCTTGGGGTCTTTCGGTTTAGGGCTTTAGGGTTAAAGGGCTTGAGGTTGATGATATGAAAATCCTGCGTGACTTGTAATGAGGAACACACCACAATTCCCATAGTTTAGGGTTTAGGGTTTAGGGTTTGGGGTTTGGGGTTTAGGGTTTAGGGTTTAGGGTTCCATAGTTTAGGGTCCTGCAGGTTATGCAGGATTTATATCATCAACAGTAGGGCTTCAAGGAGTTGACGGGTTTAGAGTTTATGCGTTAAGGGGTTTAGGGTTTAGAGGTCAACGGGTTTAGGGTTTAGAGGTTAAAGGGTTTAGGGTTTAGGGGTTTGGGGGGGATTACGGTTTAAAGTTCAGGGTTTAGGGTTTTCGGTTTAGGGGCTTTTTAATTCACGGTTTAGGGTGTGGGATTTAGGGGTGAGGGTAGAGTCTGATAGCCTCATTCTCGTTGCGAAGGCCCCGTTAGTATAGCCCTAGAACCCTTACTTGGAGGTGCATGGGCAGTTATAACTGGGGTTATAAGTAGGGTAGCTGTGATTATAACCCATATTAGGGGACTTATAACTCCACTTATAACTAACCATGAACCTCCAAGGAACTCTATAAATCCTATTGACTAACCCCTAAACCCCTGGCCTACCCCTGCCGCTGTCTCGAAGTCGCCGTGCTGCACACAGGCGGTGAGCAGTGAAGAGACCATCGCCTCCAAGAGACAGGGGGTTCAGGGCTTTCAGGGTTTAGCGTTTGGGGTTACTACGAGGGTTGCTATAGGGGTGGTATGTTCTACCCATCTTCTCGATAACAAGAAGGCGCCTAAACTCCCTAAACCCCCAAACCCCCAAACCCCTAAACCCTAAACCCTAAGCCTATAAACC